TATACTATAACTAGAGGCCTGGTGCATGAAATTTGTGCACTGGGGGGAGGGGGGTCCCTCAGCCCAGCCTGTACCCTCTCCAATCTGGAACATCCCTCTCACAATCCAAGACTGCTGGCTCCCAACCGCTCACCTGCCTGCCAGCCTGATTGCCCCTAACTGCTTTTGCCTGCCAGCCTGATCACCCCTAACCACTCCCCTGCCAGCTTGATTGATGGCTAACTGCTCCCCTGCTAGCCCGATCGCCCCCAACTGCCCTCCCCTGCTGGCCCGGTCCCCCCAACTGCCCTCCCTGCTAGCCTGATCCCCCACAACTGCCTTCCCCTGCTGGCCTGATTGCCCCCAACTGCCTGCCCCTGCCAACCTGATTGCCCACAACTGCCCTTCCCTGCCGCGACCTGCCTCCTCCGCACGAGGCGGCGGAGACTCCAGGACTGGCCTCCTCCGCACCGCAGAGCCGCAGGACCCCCAGGTCTCACCGCACGGAGTGGCCGCTGGGCCCCACCTCCGCTGTGCGCATGGCCATCTTTTGATGACCATCTTGTGACGATATCGCGCATGAGGGCCACCTAGGCTTTTTTTTTTTTTTTTAGGGTTTTCCACCTTTTTGTTGAAGGTATTACATAAGCCCCTCCTCCCCACTTGGCCCCTCAGCCCGCCCCGCCTTCCCCACCGTTTCCCGAGTCCATGGCGGTGCCAAGTCCACCTAGGCTTTTATTAGTATAGATATATTTAGCTACCTGAAATAGTAAAGTAAAAGTTAGTATGATTTTGCTTTCTCTTTTCTTTAGTGAGCTTTTGGTTTTTTTATTGTCTAAAGTTTTACATATGTCTCCTTTTTCCCCAATTGACACCCCCTCTCCCTGCCATTCCCACCCCAGTTAAGCCACCACCACTCCAGTGTCTGTGTCCATTGGTTATGCTAATATGCATGCATACAAGTCCTTTTCTTTAATGATCTTGATCATTTGGGTACTAACACAGTGTCCAGTATTGATGCCATTTGGTCAGGTTGTTTGCCTCTGATCCACTTTCTTCATAATGATATCATTGCTGGCGCAGTGATCATGTTAGTCTCTAAAACTTCACTGATCAGATCCTTTATTTAATTTTCCCTCTAAAATAAAAACTCATTTAATGGATTAAATGTTTTTTTCTAATAAACTGAACCTTTAGAAAGTATACAATTTGATAACTCTTAACATATGAATACTCTCATGAAACCATCCCTATAATCCAGATAATGAATGTTTTATCACCCCCTCTCCCCAATTTTTCTTTTTCCTTTATAATCTTCTCATTCCCTCCCACTCCTCTTGTCTCCCATCTCCCATTCCCCCCTCCCCCGGCAACCATCAATCTGCTGTTACTGCTGTTTATGTATGCATTCATCTGTTGATAGACATTTGGATTATTTATAATTTTTGGTTGTTACAAATAAAATGCTGTGAACATTCACATACAAGTCTTTGTATGGATATATGATTGCTTTGGCTTAGTCACATCAGGCATATATTTTAACTTTAATGTAACTGCTAAGCCATCTTTAAAAAGAGATGAATTAAAGGAAACAAATTTTTTTGTGATTACTTATGGACTCTGAGCATATCCTCCAAACACCTTATACACCATGCAATCTAAAATCAAAACATATCCCTTCAACAAATAAGTGAAAAAAATGAGGAGTCATAATGTGATAGTAATTAAAGTATCTAAAAACTATACTTTAGAATATTACAGAGTTCTTAAATGATTAAGAACTTATAAGGGAATGGTTTTATTTTTCGTTATGCTCATTCAGTGTAATTGCATTTTGCTGTGACAAAAGTAGAAGAAAGAAGTGGACATTCTTTTTGCATTCAGTGTTATATTCGTTTCTGTTGTAGGAAAAAGAATTCTTGTTTTAAATGGAGGCTACAGAGGAAATGAAGGTACCTTAGAATCTATCAATGAGAAGACATTTTCAGCTACTATAGTCATTGAAACTGTAAGTATGTTTACGCAAAGACAGAAATTTCAAAATGCTTTAAAAATGTGTCATAGTTCTTTCTCATTGGATTGGTCTTTGTTTCATTTTAGAGTTTGGGTTTTTTGTTCGCCTTCTCTCCAGTTTAGAAATCTGTAAGCTTATTTTCTCTATTGACTGTACCATTGCTAAAGCATTTCATTTTCTGATTCCCAAAGAAATGCCTATGTGTCTTAGTCCATTCTAGCTACTGTAACAAATACCACTGACTGGGTGAATTATAAACAACAGATATGTATTTCTCACAAGTCTAAGGGCTAGAAGTCCAAGATCAAGGCACTGGCCAATTTTGTGTCTGGTGAGGGCCTGCTTCCTTTTCATGTCTTTACATGATGGAAGGAATAAGAGAACTCTTTGGAGTCCCTTTATAGGGGTACTAATCCATTCATGGGGACTTCGCCCCTGTGATCTCAAAGGCCCCATCTCCAAATATCATTACATTGGGTATCAGTTTGCAACATAGGAATTTTGGGTGGGACACATTCAGTCAATAGTAACACTCATATAAAACCTGAAAAATACAATTTAATATAAATAAAATTTTAAATTACTCATAATCACCCAACCAAATGATAATTCCCATTAATATTTTAATCTGTTCCTTTCCAGTCTTTATATTTTATAAAACTGTCTACATAATATGTACAATTTCATAATCTGACTTTTTTCTCTCACATCTACACTAATAAAAGACAAACATGCAAATTAACTGTACCTTCGATACACCTTAAGACACGCCCACCAGCCAATCAGAGCGACTATATGCAAATTAACCCAACCAAGATGGCGGCCGGCAGTCACGGAGCTGAAGCGAGCAGGAGGCTTGGTTTCTCCAGTGATGGAGGAAGCCAAGCTTCCGTCCTACCGCTGCCAGCTCTGAGCTCCACTCAAAGCAACAAAGTTTCAATTACAGAAGATAAATAAACCCCAAATACCTGCTTTCAGCGGGCCGTGGCCACGGAGCTGGAGCCTTGGGTTGCCCCTGGCGATGGAGGAAGCCAAGCTTCCTTCCCACCCGCCCTGGCCGGCTCTGAGCTCTACTCCAGGCTACAAAGTTTCAATTATAGAAGGTAAATAAATCCCAGAATAAAAAAAAAAGAAAAAGAAAAAAAGGAGAGGCTAGGAGCTTCCGTCATGGGGGGGGCTTGGCCACCTGAAAACGGTCCTCAGCCTCTCACCCAGACTGGCCAGGCACCCCAGTGGGGACCCCACACCCTAAAGGGGGTGTGGCCAGCCTGAAAACAGCCATTAGCCCCTCACCCAGGCTGGCCAAACCTCCATGGGGTGA